AGTGAGATTAGGTTGAGCGAAGTTGTACAGCGTTTAAATATGTATAGCGCTTACAGGGGATTATATTAAACTTTATTTTTCCATCGTTTGAACGAAACTTTGTTTGTTCTTCATTTTACCATCTGAAACCGAAGTAGCTATTCCATTTCGTCATTTAATATTGCCAGAAAAACATCCATCTCCAACGGAATTACTCGATTTACAACCATCAAAGAAGATAATCTGAGCTGTTTACTCGTCAAGGAATAGATTTGTATTTTAACTTTTCGGGCTATGGCTAGTTTTCCAAAGATCTCTACAAAACTTACTTCACAAATTTCACTGAGCCTTGTAGCAACACTTATTTTCAGAAGAAAGTCAAAAACACGGTGAAAACCTCCATTAGTTGACATAACCCATATTAGGCTATTTTCACAGAAAATTAAGAAAATTCGTACTTCACTCAAAATCCAATCAAACTACTCCGGCACCTCAAGATATACTCTAATTTATCTGTGCTACAGCGAAACAGTTCCAAGACGTGCTAACATCATTTGACGATGAACTGAAGAACAAACCATTATCAGAGACATGTTTGAACTAATCCACACCAACGCATGTTTGTTTATTGCTATTGATGTTTTTTTCAAATCGGAACAATCATCAGAGAAAAGGCACTTATCATCTTTAAAGTGAATTCTATTATTCTTTACCTCTCTTAAATTACAATAACAAATAGATTTATATAATCTGATATATGCGCGTATTCTTCAAATATTAATCACTTCATAAATAGATAAGAGTATAATGTAAAATATGTATATTTAAAGCAAAAGACATTGAATTATGATTACTTTGACTTTGGCGACGTAGTGATAAAATAACAAAATTGAAGGAGAACATGCATTCAAAAAGTCCCGTTATATATACAACCGATACATCAGCCGTTCCAGGGCAATTTGGTGTTGATTATAGTACATTGAATTTGCCGAGAACGTCTGTGGTTTATCCGCCAACTGGCTCACATGTGCCACCCTCCTCCACCTTTACTCCACACCCTCCTGCACACCGCATTGCTACATCATTGTATACTGCTCCAGCATACCATTCAGATGGTGGTGGTATTACACAGTATTGGACAACAACGACACAATGGCAAACCAATTGGCCGAGAGTCCCGATTATTTTATTAGCCATTGTGCAACTGTTTCTGACAATCGGTGTTTTTGCATTGGAAATTCTTAATATTTATTTTTATGTCACAGCATATATATTTGATGGTTATGGCATTACTCTACCATCGGGAGCATACGCCTACAAATTTACAGGAATATGGTGTTCCGTTTTCTTCACTATCACATGGATTTCCATGATGGCTTTGGGTGAAATCTTGAAAAAGAAACCCCTTTTCCCCCTGAGATGTATTTAAAAGAACGTTTTAGCGCGCTTTTCTTTGAGGCTACGATACTACAGGATGTGCTTGTAAGGGCGCCGTAAACCTACGACAACGAACACCATATTCATACAAGGAAAAAAGTTCTGATCTAAGTTTTGAGTGATATTTCCGTTTTAGTCTGCTGTAATCGTTCCCGTGGATGTGCCACCAATGCGCTGATCTGGAATTTTCTATCAATGGTCTTTGCTTGTGTCCTTCTGGGTTTGGATGGTAATATACTGGATAAGACTAAATTAGAACATTATGTATTCTTCCTGAATGATCTCAGTTCATCATTGGAGACAAATAACTATGAAATGAGAACAGGATTTATGAAAGGTCAAATAGCATGTGTAAGTAACGTGACGCTTTTTGTCTGTAAAGCTTGTATCTTTTGCCATTTTCTCTGCTTTAAGGCCGCTGTTTTGCTGGTATCCACGCTTGTCTACATCGGCTTATATATTTATCTTACAGTCATGGTTTATCTAGTAGAGCGTCGAAGTCAAAGAGCTATGCCACGACACTCACAGCAACAACCGATTACAGTCGTAGACTTGAATCTATAACTTGCCACTATCAAAAATTAACCTTTGTACATGGACATCGTCATGTTTCCTCCGCTTTCTTTGTGATTTAAGAATTTTCTCTTTTTCCAAGATAACTGATAAAAGCCCTTGCCGCATTCACGAATTTACAACAGCATATACTTTTTTTGTTTTTGAATTGTTGTGTCCATGTATATTCGTCGCCTTTCAAAACAATTTCAGCTGCCATTAGCGCCGATTACTGGTAAAACAATCGTTTTCTGTATCTTTGAAGATTTTTGAAAGTGGCAGTCTACAGGCTACTACTCTTGAAGAGCACTGGATTATTGGAGATCGCGTGGTTTCAAAGAAACGTTTTTAGGGTCTAACAATTCAAAAGACTCGAGATTTTCTAACCCTTAAAACACGGCCTAATTTTTAAAAATTGTCGAAAATTTTCACTTTATCTTCACTTTGTAACTTTGAAAATACTTTTTGTTTATTCTACGTCATAGCAAATCAAGGTTATTTTTAAATAAAAGCAAGCATAAATATTCCCATTACACAGCTTCACATATGACCGGATTTGGAAAATACTCGGCGTTTGATCCGGCGAGGGATGCCGAAACATTGAATCAACAACACCAGGAAAGTGGAAAATCAAAACCGGGCTTTGGATATCAGCACGAACCTCTTTTCCGCAGAAAAGTACAGTAAGGAAATATACTCATCAGAGATTTATTGATTTGTTATTATACTAAGCATTATCGAATTTATTATACTTGCGCCCGGTTTGGAAGAAACCGGTATATGTTTTCTGATTCAGTTTCTTACGTAGATTCCGAATCCGGTGTCTGTTTTTAGGTGCAAAGTCTAGTTTTCGACAAATAGAGGAAAAACTGGTTTCATGTGGGAATTAACGCCTTTTATTGCTTTCTCTCTTTTTTTTTCGTTCAGAATACATGTTTTTCTTTCCATTTTCTCTTTTCGTATTTTATCCTAGTGAACGAACAGAAGGAGAAAAAGAATATCCACCTGTAGCTTGTATCGAGCACTGCTGTTATTCCATATAGCTCTTCAAAATTGCACAGATATAAAATATCAACTTTACTGAATCCGACAGAAAAAAGGAAAATTAATAATAAGAAATGCTACAATTACTTGTATAAAAATCCTTTTTATGCTCTTGCAGGGTACAAAAAGTAGATTGTTGACTCTTTTTCGTAATAGGCAACGTCGTTACATTGGCAACTTGAACTTTGTGACCAATTCTGAACGCAAACTCTTTGACAAAAAGGACATCGTCACTCTCTCTTCGATATGTGTGAGTCGTCTTGCAAATTGGTTGTTCAATTGTTGACTTTTAGCTCATTTTATTTAATTCATTTAACATTTTCTTGTCAGAATGCATAGACAGAAAAATCGGATAACTTATCCGAAATGGTGTTGATGGGCACCTGAGAAAGCCCACCGCGTAAATTACTTATGATTTCAACACCTAATATCTCGAAAGACAAAGGTTTGTTTTTCGAAGAAAGCTGTTGTCGCCGCAAATAGGGTTTAGCAAATGAGTTTATGTAGCATTTAAGGGTGCATATATCAAGATAAATCCCGGTCAGCCAGTCGCCATTCTTCTGTTTTGCTTTTCTTAGAATATACCCATATTCCCTCCATAGTCCCTCTTTTTCCCTGCCCCGCTACTATTCTGATCCAGAGTAGTTAGAGTGGGAATCAGTCGTTATTTCTCCATTAGGTTAGTGAGATTGTTTAATCTTTATTGCAGAAAATTTTATTTAACGATTTCTTATATTGAAAAATCATTTCTTTTTACACTTTAACTTAAATACATCACAAATGACGCTTGTATGTTTCTTTCTTCTGATGTAGGTTCGTCTTGATCGTTTTTGTTTCTGCATACTCATATTCTGGGTTTACTCTCAATTCGTCCCAAATTGCGCACTCTCACACCTGCTCGCCTCTTTGATGTTGTTTGATCTTACAAAGCCAATTTGGGACGAACTGAGAGGACACCCATATTCTGTGCGCAAAGAATAGCTTTCCTTTCGAAACAATAAATGCAAAAAGACAAGTTTTATATTTTATCGAATATATAGTTATATACACAAAGAATTACATACAATATGATACTCGTTGTAATTTCCTCTGAGAATTAAACAAACTAAAACTATACAAATATCTGTCAGTACAAAAGCCTCTATCTTTAGATAAAAGGTCTCTATCTTTCAATATATAAAATATTCTGGGTCCGAGCAGATGTATGGAAGAAATATCTTGCTATAGCTTTAAGATATGTGAAAATCATGATATCTGTCGAGTATTTTGACAATTGTCCTACATGTGCATATTTTTGAACAGCTTGTTTATACATTTTGAGTGCCGAAAATTCTCTACCTTTCTATATACAAAACGTTCCGAGTCTGAATAAAAGCATCAAAGAAGTATTCCTTTAAATGGTATCATGACATGTGTCTAGTATTTTGACATTTGTTCTCTATGGGCATATATTTAAGAAGCCTGTCAACAGGTCGTTTTGAAGCGCGCAAAACTCTATCTTTCTATGTACGTTCTTTGATCACAGTCTTTGAAATCGTACGAAAAATTTGAGAAACAATGTGAATGATCTTCATTAACGTAGTGACGAAAAAATCGGTAAGAAATGACTTTTTCCAACGAAGTCAGAAACAATTTTTGAAAGTTAGAAGTGTTGGAAAATGCAAAGGAAAGCATTAATGGTCATTTTCACTCAAAATCATATTGCGGCATTTTCTAGCAGAAATTTCCCCGTTTTCCCGTTCTTGATATACGCAACCAAAAACTGCAGATCTTTAGGGTAAGGTTAATTATTATCATTGTATCTAATATACATTAGTAATTTTTCTTTTCAAATACATTTATTATCGCACAGATCAAACAAAGACGATGTAACGATGTATATGACATTCAAAGAAGAAAAAGAGAGAAAAGCGCAATATACATAATGTTATGAACGTTTAGAGTGGAAAATTATATATTAATGGTAAAAAATAAAGAAAAAAAGAGATTTTGACAGAAAAAGAAATTTCGAAAACCAGAGTTATGGCGTCCAAGCACACCCACAGAACACAAATGTTCAAAGCGTTAACGGTTAAACAAAAACAGAATCGCAGAACGTTTTGGCATTCTCAACGATCCATGTCAGAAGCTCCCTTTTTAAGAAGCATTGAATAAAATTTTGACATTAAATTGAGAAAAATACTATTGAAACAAAAACCGTTACAAGATAGAAGGACTTTATTAAAAGAACGAAGGCTTTTACATTCAAACTGTGAAGCCGCATAACACACAGAAAGGAAAGAAGTTTCAAAATAGTCGGAATCAGTAAGTCAGTGTACTCCTCGTAAGCGATAGTCTAGTCCAGTAAGTTAGCTAAAACAAACTTCGTGAAACGTGAGGATATTTGATGGAATGACGCTGCCACCATTAGGTTTTCCGAAAATAATTTATATCTCTAATGAAAAGCTTTTGTGAATTCATCAAGCAGTGTCCACCCAACCAGGCCATAACATGAAGAAAAAACCGTTATTTTTTATTTCCTTATTCTATTCTCCGTACTGACGAAGCTCTTTTTGCCATTTGATATCTCTTCTTTGAGAAATTTTTTTATTTTATTTATTTTTATTATTTTTTTAATCTGGCCTCGCTCTTTAATTTAGCCTGAACCTTGAGTTTGCTATGGAATATTCCATGTACCGGGCGGTGTGGTATACCAACGGTATTTTGTAGAACCGCCAGTGTTTTAAAAAAAGCGCGATGTGAGTTTTTAGAATAATTTGATTTTTTAGCGAAGAAAGGCTCAATAAAATTTTCTCACTTTGTTTTTGTATGGAGAATCGAATGTACAATAAAGATACACGATATCCTTTCGTCATGTTGTGGTGATTCACGATGGCCTCATTTACCCCGCCCCCCCCCTTAACAAAAGCCTTTTTTTTTCCACTTCTGCACTTTATTTTCCCAAAAGAAAAAATGATCCTTCACTTTTATTGAAGAATACTCCTGACTAGAACTGAAAATTTCTCGGGTTATTTTAGCAGTTTGTAGCACGAATTACTCTTAAACTCAAAACCTACAGACATCAACCGAATATAAGAAAAATTTCAAGATATCAGCTAGGAAAAAGTTCTTAATCTGCATTTCAAGGTATCCTCTAATACAAAGTAGTGTAAAACAGATCAGCGGATGGAATTGTTTCGCTGAGAGAACACTGGGTAGACATTTGGTGTAGTCGTTGGAAAGGTTGTTGAATATCCTCGGCTCCAGGTTTTAAAATTTTCGGGAACACTAGATGAATGCTTGAAAAAAGTTGACTTTTGCATGCGGACAGTATAGCTTAAAGATTTCCTTCATTTGTTCACGAAAGCTGGTTTTGTATAGACACCTACCCATCTACTTAGTTTCCTCATGCGGTTC